AACAAAAGGCATGCTCTATCGCACTTCATCTTCATTAGAGCCATTCTGTCTAATGGAACAGTGGGTTTTGGTTTCATTATACATTCATGCAAAAACACATAGAGACTTGGTTCCTGCCTCAAATTAACTTTTGAGCGTCAAATTATTTATACAGTTTTTTGTAAACTGTATACATTACTCGGCCACAATCCTACCATATGATAGTTGTTATTACCTGCTTTACTTTCAGCTTTTATGGTTATTACAACAGGGTAAATCGATGTCAGTATAACATGACGGAGTGAAACACTGGGTGCCTTCATCAAGGATGAAACAGTCGGCGTCTTATCTGAGCTATCGCAAGGAGGCGAATACATCTAAATAATTATATTGCCTCCAGAGTTAAACATTAACTAGGCGTTTTTGAGGAATTGTGAGATTCGAATACATTATGTTGAAAGAGTTCTGCTTTTTAGCTCACCTGGCACGAAGTGCCAAGTGAGCTTATGCCGTTGCGCGTCGTCCGTCCGTCCAGTGTCCCGCTTTCGGCGTCAATATTTTACTTTAAACGACTTCTTAATAACCGAAAGGCCTAGGGTGTCGATATTTGGCCAAACTGGAATGAAGGGCTACAAATTAAAGTTTGTTAAAATTAATGACCTTCTCCCATTATCAAGGTCACAGGTGTCGAATATGTTAAAAACTTTAAACATCTTCTTCTCGATAACCAAATTGCCCAGGGAGATGATATTTGGCCAGTAGCATGCTTGGGTGAAGGGCTACCAAATTTGTTCAAATGAATGACCTTCAATTATATTCAAGGTCACAGGGGTCAAATGTCTTAAAACACCTTTAAACAACTACTTGTCAATAACCACAATGCCCAGGGTGATGATATTTGGCCAGTATCATGTTGACATGAAGGGCTACTAAGTTTGTTCAAATGAATGACCTTCACCCATATTCAAGGTCACTGGGGTCAAATATGTTGAAAGCTTTAAACAACTTATTCTGAATAACCAAAATGCACAGGGTGATGATATATGGCAAGTAGCATGCTAGGGTAAAGGGCTATCAAGTTTGTTCAAATGAATGACCTTCATCTATTTTCAAGGGCACAGGGGTCAAATATGTGAAAAACATTAAACATCTTCTTTTGAATAACCAAAATGCACGGGGTGATGATATTTTGCCAGTAGCATGCTGAGATAAAAGGCTAAAATGTTTGTTCAAATGCATGACCTTCACCCATGTTCAAGGTCACAGGGGTTAAATACGTTAAAAGCTTTAAACAACTTCTTCTGAATAACCAAAATACCCAGGGTGATGATATTTGGCCAGTATCATGTTGAGATGAAGGGCTATCAAGTTGGTTCAAATGAATGACCTTCACCTATATTCAAGGGCACAGGGGTCAAATATGTGAAAAACATAAAACATCTTCTTTTGAATAACCAAAATGCACGGGGTGATGATATTTGGCCAGTAGCATGCTGAGATGAAAGGCTAAAAAGTTTGTTCAAATGCATGACCTTCACCCATGTTCAAGGTCACATGGGTCAAATACGTTAAAAGCTTTAAACAACTTCTTCTGAATAACCAAAATACCCCGGGTGATGATATTTGGCCAGTATCATGTTGAGATGAAGGGCTACTAAGTTTGTTCAAATGAATGACCTTCACCCATATTCAAGGTCACTGGGGTCAAATATGTTAAAAGCTTTAAACAACTTCTTCTGAATAACCAAAATACCCAGGGTGATGATATTTGGCTAGTAGTATGCTGGGGTAAAGGGATATCAAGTTTGTTCAAATGAATGACCTTCACTTATATTCAAGGTCACATGGATCAAATATGTTAAAAACATTTAACAACATTTTCTGAATAACCAAAATGCCCATGGTGATGAGATTTGGCCAGTAGCATGCTGGGGTAAAGGGCTATCAGGTTTGTTCAAATGAATGACCGTCACTTATATTCAAGGTCACAGGAGTCAAATATGTTTTAAACATTAAACAACTTTTCTGAATAACCAAAATGCACAGGGTGATGATATTTGGCCAGTAGCATGCTAGGGTAAAGGGCTATCAAGTTTGTTCAAATGAATGACCTTCACCTATATTCACGGTCACAGGGGTCAATTATGTCAAAATCTTTAAACAACTTCTGAATAACCAAGAGGCCTTTGGTGATGAAAGTTGGCCAGTAATATGTTAGGATGAAGGGCTAACAAGTTTGTTTAAATAAATGACCTTGATTTATATTAAAGATCGCAGGGGTCAAATATGTATAAAACCTTTAAACAACTTCTGATGAACAACCAAGTGGCCTATACTAATGATAGTTGGCCAATATCATGCTGGAATGAAGGGCTAACAAGTTTGTTCAAATGAATGACCTTGACTCATATTCAAGGTCACTGGGGTCAAATATGTTGAAAACATTTAAACATCTTCTTCTGAATAACCGAGAGGCCTAGGGTAATGATATTTGGCCAGTAACATCCTGGGATGAAGGGCTACTAAGTTTGTTTAAATAAATTACCTTCTTCCATATTCGTGGTCAATATATGTTTAAATCTTTAAATGATTCGTTCTGTATAACCAAAAAGTCCAGGGTAATGATATAATGCTAGAAGCATGCTGGGTGGGAAGACTATAAATTCTGTTCAACCTAATGTCCTTGTTCGTCATTCAAGGTCACGGGTGTCATATGTGTAAATATTTTAATAGGTTCTTATTAATCAAACACTGATATTCTGCCTGTAGTTGTATTTTAGTCCACTTTGAAGATAACACACACTAACACTACACGCATGCATCTTGCACACAGGGGAGGCCNCAGTAACATCCTGGGATGAAGGGCTACTAAGTTTGTTTAAATAAATTACCTTCTTCCATATTCGTGGTCAATATATGTTTAAATCTTTAAATGATTCGTTCTGTATAACCAAAAAGTCCAGGGTAATGATATAATGCTAGAAGCATGCTGGGTGGGAAGACTATAAATTATGTTCAACCTAATGTCCTTGTTCGTCATTCAAGGTCACGGGTGTCATATGTGTAAATATTTTAATAGGTTCTTATTAATCAAACACTGATATTCATGGGGACGCAGATCCATTTTTGTCTCTTCCAGTTCCCGTTCGTAGAAGGAACGGACGAAACCCCTCAATTCTGACATTAGTCTCTTCTTATGGTCATCCAGTGAGATTTAGCAGATCTATTCTTTTTCCAAAATGGACAGGTTGTCTGGTCAATGAAACATGTAGACTTTCAGTCACCATCTTCCTCTTTATTCAGAGTCACTACATATAACTTCGTCATCATTACTTTCATCATTCTTATCATTCTCATCAACGTGGAAGTAATGTTTAGATTACTAATTTTATCATTGTAGATGTGGACATTTGCTGAAAGGCCTCTTGTGTCACTGGAAATGCTTTGCAACATCTTTCAAAAGATTGCGTGCCCCCTGAGTTTCTGTTTCCCATGTCCATAGAAGCCAGATATTGTATTACATCCGCTGTGAATATGTAATGGGTTAAGGGTTTAGCTACATCATCAGATGATCCAAGACCTAAGCAGCTAATGATAGAGTCCCTCCGTTTGATAGCAAGTGTGCCCTGGTTTCTGTCCCCAGACTGGGAAATACCGAAGTCCTGAAACATTGTAGTTGTTATTCCCTGCTTAATGTTCAGCATTTAGAAAAATGGCAACAACTGGTTCATCCGTTGTCAGCATAATGTGACCAGACGGAATGCTGTGCTGGGTGCATTGGGCATGGTATTTCAGTGAGATAGCACTATAAAATCGGCATCAGATGCGCGCTATCACAAGGAGGCAAGTACACCAATAGGCCCGGTATCCGGCACACATACACATGCACGCTTACAAAACCCACATAGAGGCACGTCGTTAAATTACCTTAGCTGTTGTTAGGACGTTGAACTAATTAAAAACAAACACAACCAATCATATGATTCTGGCTGATGCAAGGACGATAAACCCGAAATAAACAAAATAATTGACCAGACATTTCAAACCATGGTTGTTTCAACTAAGTTACACTGGTTGAAGATGAAAAATTTGCGTCCAAACCATTAAGGGTGTCATCCTGATCTTTTCCTTTGCAGTCAGCTTGCGGTTATCCTGTTTTTTGGCAGCAAAAACATAACATACCACTTGTCGTTCTAATGCTTACCTTAATCAAGTTTCTATACTAATAAATAAATTCCCTGAAGCAAAGATATGTATTTTTTGATATACCAAACGACGGGTGGCGGCCATTTTGATTTTTCGCGTCTGTCCGAGTTAGCGCACGAGGTTCACCCCAGCTCATTTTAATCAGCACCTTCAAATTGATTAAAATCAACTTTCAAACCTTGGTCCGGGAAACGTGGTCACGGGACACCATTGTGGGAACTCTACTAATAGGCATGGATTTGAAACTTGTTGAAATAAAATACATTATTATTCGCTGCAGATGCCAAGGACACCCTTTAACATATGGCTGATTGGCTGCATAGCGCATCAACAGCCATGGTCATTTGAGGAAGTGCCAGAATGTATGCTTGCATGTGCCGTCAGGCAGCCATCTTTTATTTTGAGAGCTCATATTTGTTATCACGATTCCTCAAGTAGTGTTTGACAGACTTTTTCAAATTTCATTTTGTAGATTTCCCTATGGTTGTGCATAATTTATTTTTAAATTGTTTCTTTTAATTGGCTAGTAATCTTTATTAATTTATGATTTGTAGAGCTAAGTTTGGTTGAAAGGGTTAGCGTCGTGTTCACAACTAAGGTCAATTTAGTACGAACCTCTATGAGTCTTATGTATGCGTGAGTGCTGAAGGCAGGGTGTTTTGTTGAATTGAGCCAACCATCGAGATAACACGTTTTTAGTCAACGGTTTGGTTATACTTGTCGACCTTCACCTGAGATATGGTGGTCGTATCAACACCGGCATGCGAATGACTAAGTCTTCTTATCTGAAAAATACGGTGGCCTATCGTTGCGATAAAAGACTATGTAATCCGACATGTTTACTCTGTATCCTCGTGAGGTTATGTAAACATAAGAAACGATCGATCAGCTCAGTATACATGTATTGAGTAGAATAGCAAGCCGGACATCAACATGGATACGACGTACAGTTTATTTACTGTCATAGCAGTTTTAACTATCTTTCACTGCGGTAAGTTAAGCATGTGAAAGTGTGTCTTTAGCTAAAGTTATATACAGAGTATATGTTATAATATCTTTGTGTAACGGAACTTGTCGGTTGATATTTATTGCTTTATTTGTCATACAAATGTAAATCAGTATTGTATTCATGTGTTTGTAATTCTCGATAGATTGCAACCGACAGAAAGTAGTCGTTGTTTCAACATGCATACATGTACTCTCTTGATAAACTTCCAATGTGAGCTCTTAAAGGCCTCTGGACCGCTGTTTTTAATGTTAATATTTATAAAATCTAATTGTCATTTCCTTGCCGATTACTTAAACACGATTCTGTTGGAAATATGACTTAACATCAAAATATATGCTTGTTGTTCTGTCCATGACTTCTTGTGATAATTTCCTCGTCAAGTAAGAAACAATTCCTTTGGCGCGCTATCACAAGGAGGTAATTACACCAACAAACCTGCCACTAGCACACTTACACACATACACGACACATATGGAAGCACGTCCTTAAATGTCATGAGGACGTTAAACAATCTAAAAACCAGCCTTCGGTGCGCGGGCATACGTGATTTATAAACTCTTTCAGCTTCAGATTTCTGTCCATGTTGGATCTATTTTTGGCGATTTTGAGATGTCGGTTCTAGATAGAAAAACAAATTTAGAATTGTTTCATATATTGTTGTGCATGCTATACACTGTTTTATTGTAATAATTCATTTTCATCAAATAAAGGAGGAAATACAAATATAAGTTTCCTATTTTATATTGCGCGTTGTTTTATAAATTTTATCAAGAAACGTTCAATTAAATTTGCAAGATCGGGTTCAAAATGCTGAATTATTAATCGTCATGTACTTCGCTCATTTGAGAAGAGACAGGTATGGCATTAATGTCATTTTGACATATTTGTATTTACTGAAATTATATTTAATCAAACATGTGAACAATTGGAGCGAGTGAGATCTTTTTCTGTATTGATAAAACAAGTAGTTATATACTCTTAAATAGTTTTTTGTTGTCTATGTAAGAATGCCTTTGTTAAGCAATCCAAAGTAAATGATCACACACACAAAAATGACAAAAAATACGAGTGTTGCACAATACACCCGCCGATGTCGTTATTGGATTCTGATTGAGATTTATGGTTAATTTACCCGCAAGGAAAATGTATATGATTTTTTCCGAAATCCGCTCTGATATTGGATACGGATTTGTATTTTCCTCATTTTCATATAACATTTAGCGTTGCATGTTAATGATGTCAGATTATTTTGGTCTCTCGATTCAGTACAAGAACTTAATTTCTAATGAGTTAATTCCGGCTTATTGTCCCTGTTTGCTAATCAGGAGATATTGAAGAAATCGAGAACAAGGGACATGACTAAAAGACTAAAAAATATATGCTGCACCGATTGCAACAATATATCTGTCTTCTTTCTTTTCTTTGTATTGTCTGTCTCCCTAGGCATCCGTCCTCATATGATCCAACATAAGGTTTATCTTTACAAAAGCATTTATCCTGTCAAAAGGACTCAAAACATTAACAATAAAAGCTTATACAACCTTTAGTTTACAGATAAATTATGTATAATAATTCGTAATATTACATTTCCACTGCACAGAGCCTTGATGTTTCTACTGGGCCCAATGTATGTTATTTTCGTATTACATGCATTGGACCATTGTGACGTCGCTACGCTTATGACGTCATAACTGTAACGTTGGAGATTGCACTGCTCCACTGTCAACTGGTGGCTGTTCTCTGTATGGTTTTTTCCTGACGTTGAAACGTGTTCAAACTAATATTATGCCTTATTTCTGCGTGAACTGTAAGTTGATCAACATAAAATGTAAATGTAAGTGTTGGTTGTCATATTTTTGACATGCATTGGTATGTTAAACACCAATGCATGTCCAAAATATGACAACCAATCCTTTAATAAATAATAATAAAACTTAACATATTGCCAACAATTGTTGACGCCGTTGCATGTAATCCTAATTATAATGAAATATTATTCAGCTCAAGGACAACAAGTTGTGGTGACTGCACCTGACGAGATCACTCCGGGGGAGACAACTCTCACAGTAAGATGTGCACCATCAGATCCTCACCTCTGGAAGTCCGTACAGACCATGAAACTTTATAAACGAGCCGATAACATGGTTTCCAATACCATGCAGCAACCGATTGTATCATTTTCCTACAACAACGGAAAGGACACCGATGTAACATGGGAGGACCAGGACCTTCGTCAGAGATACGGAGTGGACGTAAATGGTAATTTAGCTTCTGACAACCCCTTCCTATCACTGACCATCGACGGGCCGAACACACAGGAGAAGGACGCTGGTTCATACTGGTGTGGCTTAATGGGAACATTCGGCAATGGAGAGTTTCTCTATATAACCGGCAAGAAACATATAGATGTTGCCTAACGTGATGTTTCAATAACATCTCTTTGTCATTTTGTATCCAATAAACAAGATTTTTGCAAAGCAGAGATGGATTTGAATTTTTTCACTTAACTTGGCACATGTATAGCAGTGTAACATTACCCCCCTGATTGCTTTTCTTGCGACAGACGTAAGATATAGAAATAACAGCGTAAATATAGTATGTAGTATAATTGTATACAATGCAAAGCTATCGCATATAAATAGCGCAAGATATTAACAGATCAATGTCAACACTGACAGGTTAGCTTAAATGTGAAGTTCACCTCATCTGGTACTCAATGCGCCAAGAATAGTCAGTTGCTTTACCGAGAGGTTCACCATCAGTTAAAATGTAAGAATAAATCAAATGATGAACGCACCGGGAAAATTGTCGAGCTGAGGTTATTTAGTTGGCCACCATTAGACAAATCTTTTCTTGTCGGGGAAATTTACTATATCCTCCTTGAAATGGTGCATTTTATGTTGCTCAAGTAAACAAACATAATGTCATCCAAGTTCCTGTCACTTGCACTCGCATTCAGTGGTAGCAACCATGTAATTGGCCCTTTATCTATCGGAGTTAAAAGATCCATCTTTAAAGAATTCCAGTAAGCTGACGAACCACGGATACCCTTCATGAAACCAAAGAAATGTCTTCTCTGAGATATTGTTATGTAAGGTTTTAGGAACGTGTTCCAAGATCGTATTATTTCAGCAATGAGAATGCCTTATGTGAGTTTCTCTTTTCAGTGACATTAGTTGCCGAGCAAAGATAAGATAAATCTAATTGCGATCGAGTGTCGGAAGATATTAAACGCACTTGAAAGTATTGCATAACTGTAATAATGTTTTGTTCGTAGTGATCTCAAACAACAATCTCCATTTGGATATAACGCAGGAAATGCCAACTGCTCTACAAACCCCAGGAAACTGACAGGTGTCGGTCATCGATAAATTGCGTATAGTTAATTTTTGGTAACTCGGATCAACTTGAATGACATAGGTTTCCGGCAGCAAATCTTGATTTACAGCCACTTGTTTATAAGATGAAACAAACTGTGTCTCTTTCTTTAAAATCTAAATTAACAACACAAGGAGTATTGGTTGTTGATTCATATGCTTGAAGATCAATATTGGAATACTAACAAATTATTGCACTTAAGCCATTGCGATGTTTCTGGCAATGAACTTGCACAAGGACTAAGCCATAGTGAGCTTATGCCATGGCGCAGCGTCTGGAGCATCATTGGCCAAAGTGTTCTCAGTTTTGTATAAACGGAGGGTTATGGTGCCACTGGGGGCAGAGGGGCGGGGCCAAATAGGGGTGAAATAGGTAAATCTTTAAAAAAATCTTCTCAACCAATAGAAGGATTTTAACCAAATTTGTTCTAGAGCATATTTGGACAAAGTAACCTCAAGTTTGTATAAACGGAGGGTGTGGCCCCTCTTGGGGCAGAGGGGCGGGGCCCAATAGGGGAAATATAGCAAATTCTTTAAAATCCTTCTGTAGGAATGAAAGGATTTGTTCCATATTTGGTCTGAAGCATCATTGGGTGAAGGGGAATCCATTTTGTATAAACCGTTGGTCTGGCCCCCACAGGGGCCTCAGTGGTGGGGCCCAATAGTGGTGAAATAGCAAATTCTTAAACATCCTTCTTCTTCTGTAGGAAAGAAAGGATTTGTTCCATATTCGGTCTGAAGCATTCTTGGGTGAAGATGAACCAATTTTGTATAAACCTTGGGTCTGGTCCCCAACGGGCCTGAGGAGCGGGGCTCAATAGGGGAAATATAGGAAATTCTTTAAAATCCTACTTCTTCTGTAGGAATGAAAGCATCGTGCCGTGACTCGAACCCGCAACCCTACGGTCACGAGCCCGGCGTCCTACCACCAGACTACCGTGCCTCCTGCATAATGTAACATTTGCACCAACTTCTGGACCCGAATCTCGTACAATCTCTTTCCATGAGTGTTTCATTATGTGGTTAGGAACTGAAGTATAATAAAGTATTTTGTTGCATGATGCACATTCATGGCTAGGCCTATCCTTTATTTTCTCCAAAAATGTACTTCTAGGAATCTCGCCGGCAGTCTTTAGTGTTCTTATTCATGGTAACCGCTTTTTGTCATTGCCAATATTCGCATGTGAATAACCATGCACCATTGACACCGTAACCATCGTCTCACCTCTGCAGGATTTTGATTTCTTCACTGGTGACTCTGTCTCTACCTTATTCAGGCCAACCCGACTGAAATTTGTGACTGGCTTTGTTGCAATTAACAGTAATGGAGAAGAATGAGGTTGGCAATTACACAAACTGTTTGATCTGACAAATATGTAGTGATTACCTGTATTGTCCAGTGTCACATATGGACAAGAAGGGAATGGGTTTTGCTCATAAAATCTTGGGAATAATATCTGCCAAGATATGGTATTGCGAAACCTGCTGCGGATATAAACAGGTACTTGAAGTAAAGTCGCAGTAACTTCAATTTCTACTTCTGAAATCCACGATGACAGATCCATATTGTGTTATATTATTGAAGTGTGTCAATACACTGTTGACATATATGTTATAATGCATCTGCATCCTGTTTGAATCGTTGAATTTCTTTTTGGATTATTTAAATATGTTCTAGCTTCATTGCTATATGATCATGCATCGATCTTTCTATTTCCATACAAGTACTTATGTTGCTGTTCCATTCGAATGTTTTGTGCAATTTGACTCCTGTATATGTATGGTAATTTTGATGTCGTCCCGACTTTGAGTATGATGAATATGTATAATCATTTAAAGAAATGTAATGTTTTCTCATTCATCATTTATCGATTATTTGAAGTAATACTTGTATCTTCTGTTTCTTGATCACACATACATATTGGAAACAAAATATATATCATACATAATTTCTATTTTTCAGCGGGGACTATTAATTTCTGTTTAGTTCCAGATTTTGACATTTGTTGCCTATCACTTTGAAGAGCTTTCGTGTGTTTGCTTCTGTCGGAATATACCAGGCGCTTATTACAAGCTCTATGATAACTCAGATATAGATTTCCTTTTCAAACAGGAATAACATATAACCTGAAGGCGTTCCAAATTTCACACGGGAATCACATATAACCTAAAGATGTTCCGAGTATGAATCAGGCACTTTTGAGGTTCCCGAAAGGGTAGACTGTTATATTATAAATTGCTGTTGATTGATTTATATATTTGATGTCTGACCATCGACTACCGTAAATATTCGCGTATAGTATGCACTTTTTTAAGGAAAAATTAAAGTGTCAATAAAGGGGTGTGCGGATAGAGTCCAGGTCGCGTGATAATATTTACCGGCAGGAACTCATTACGTCAAATACATGCAAATTGAACCGATGATAATAAACATTAGAGTTTGAAAAATAAATATGAACCGGCTCAAACAGCCAAATACATTCCGATCTTTTCATTTCAAAGAAAAATTGCTGAAATCACAATTGTTTTGTGTTTTTCATGTCTCGTGAATTTGGCCGTTGTCGTTATCGTCGGACCTGTTTGAGTAACTGCCTTTAACAACGCGTACACACTGCCGATATGCATATCGATGTCCAATTCAGTCAGATTTGCAGACGATCAGAAAACTACTTTGAATCGTGTATTTTATAAAAAAAAAAAAAATGAAAGATTTATCCGTATATAAGATTGAATCTTCCAATTACCTGTTCTGCCCATGTCAGGTGACAACAGATATTTGCCACATGCTTTCTTATTAATTCCATGTGTTGGCGTGGTTACCTAAACAGCTTGTATATATACACAAATAAAAAAGTGAAGCACCGCCACGTGTTTTTTAAAAAATGATACGATTAGTATCAAAAGATAACGGAACAAATAATCGCAAATACAAATACAGCCTGTTAGGACATTACATTAGCTTTAAGGAACACACAACAAATATCAACAGAAATGCTAATTTAATGAACAGATTGTCAAAAAATCACAAGCCCAGTTATTACACTAAAACATGTCCATTTTAAGTATTGACCTTCTAAATGCCCGATAAGATTGTCATTTCATTTAGAAAACTTCAATTTTAAGTCACTTAACGACTTCCATGGTTCAAAGTTTAATATCGAGTGAAACCACCACGTGCTTGGATGCCGGCCTCAACCCTGCGTCTCATCCCTCCAGTCAGTTGTCGGATTTCCTGCTGTGGCAGCTGTCGCCATTCCCGATGTAATGCTGCTTCCAACTCACGTAAGGTTTGTACAGGAGGTTCGACTGCCCGTACACGACGGCCTAATATGTCCCAAACATGCTCTATCAGACTCATGACTGGCCATGGAAGAGAAGTCACTGCTTCGCCTTGAAGGTAGGCGGTTACCGCCCTTGAACGATGCGACCTGGCGTTGTCATCCATAAACACAGGTCTTCCAGCTAATGGATGGTTATCAAAATGGGGGACAATAACTAGCTGAAGTACTTCTCTGGTGTATTGATCACCATTCAGGTTTCTTCGTTTGGTCACCAAGTCTAACTTGCAATCATGAGAGATGCACCCCATACCATTACAGAGCCTCCACCGTAAGGGACAGTTGGTTTGATGTTTCTTTGGTTATATGCTGTATTTTTCTGTCTCCAAACTCTCATTCGTCCATCTGTTACATGCAGCAGAAACCGGCTCTCGTCCGACCAATGGATCTTGCTCCAGGTCCTCAAGTTCCAACCACGTCGCGCTCAACACCATGCCAAACGTAATCTTTGATGTCGACCAGTTAACATGGGACGTCTAATTACCCTCCTTGACTTCAGTTCTGCTGGTTTCAACCGGTTCCTCACTGTTCTGGTTGATAGACGTCTGTAAGGTAACCATTGTGTTTTCAGAACAGGACTAGTTGCAAATAGCATTCGTCTAACTAAAGTTCCATTGCCCTGTCTTCACGCTGCGATGTTACGGGTGGTCTGCCGGATCTTGGCAAGTCTTTGACGGTGTTGGTTTGGAGTTTTTTTTCTGACTACAGTATAGCACATCTGACGTCCAATAGCTTTAAAGGACATCCCTGTTGACTGCATGCCGATA